GCCTCCGTGGGAGGTAATCAGGTGGGGACAGGCAGCGCTATGGAGCCAGCTCCCCTTACATATTGGTTCCCACCTGCCCCTTACCCCCTCCATTGCTGCCTCTTTATCAGAGGCAGCAGCAAGGAGGTGGGGGTGAGCTGGGGCTCCGCTTTTAAGATGTCTCCCCATGGGCACCGGCTCCTGCCTCCCTTCCCCCACCCTGGCTTGCTGCCTCTGATATAGCCCGGGCTTTCTGGTTAATTGTGTAGTCAACTACACGTTGACATCCCTAATTTCAACAGCTTCCTATGTGCCAAGTGGACACTCTCTCATGTGCCCAAGGCTTCATTTTTTAGCAACTTTTAAGATGTAATGATGCATTGTCTGCAAAAATCTATAGTATATGGGAAACAGTGGGAAGAGCAAAGCTGCACTGTATTTAATATCAAAACGAGCACCATAGGGGCCTAATGCACTGATTTTATTATTATTTTTCTTATTTCAATTGAAAGCACCTCCAGTTTTATTTAAGTAAAGCTGCCATGTTTCCTAGTCTGTTGTAATACTGCACTGTAATAAAAGGGATCTTTGCTACAGAATTAATGTGAGTTTACCATACAGAACAAGAATGGTGGATAGGATGAATGCAGGATTTTGTATTACTTAGGATTCACTGCATATAAGGTTTTTTTGTTCTTTATCCAGAACAAGTATTCATTTATACAACTACATCAGCCCAAATAAGGGCACATTTTTGTCCTGCCATGTTTTTCTGCAAACTTTAGAATCCCTTCACTTGTGTGGGATTGGTTGGCTCAAGAAGTCGGAAATGAGATATTGTGGCTTACATAGCACCTGTAGACTACAAGTTTATACAGAATGAAAGTTGGTTCTGATTGAAAGTAAGCATAATGTAACAGCTTTTCATTTGTGTATATCAAATACATTGGAGCTCTCAATCTAATTCTAGTGGATGTGTGTCCATACACAAGTCTTTGCACTAAACCTTCTGAAAGCAACAGTAACTTGTGCAGTATAACTTGTCAACTGTGTAAAATAATACGATGATCATTTCTTCCAACAGCTGGCGTAACAAAAGTCACATTTGCTGTATGGATGCATTGTTTGTGTGTGTGAAATCAGATGTTTACATGTACAGTCATAGGGCACCTGTATTATGACTGAAGTTTAGGAAAACCGTATTTGGGAGAATTTAAGATTTCCACATCTCCACCAAGAGGGACTGGTGCAGTTCTCCATGCTTGAGTTCTGCGCACAGAAGCTAGTCTATACATCACCATGGATGGGGAACTGTATGTTCAATCATAGTGCTCTGGTGGCAATTTAAAAGGTCCCAAGTCTTTGGCCATCGCTGCTGCTACTGCAGTAGTAGCAGGAGCTGAAGCCTGCTTGAATTGCCAGGCCTGTTTGAATTGCCAGGCCGAGGGGCAATTGCCCCCTTTGTTCCCTTCCCCGTAAGCGGGCCTGACTGCAAGCCTTACACCATCAATCCCTGTCCCTATCACATTTCCATTTTCTTTACTCTCTTACCTGTCTCCTTGTGTGCCACCCACAATTCCCATCTTCTTGCCCTATTCGCAAACTCTACGGCAAGGCAGTCCCAGTCTCTAACCTCTTCATCCAGACACACTCTACCTTCCCCTCTCCCCTGCTCCCCACACACTGCCAGTAGTTTCCTCACCCTTTTCTCCACTGGGGTCTTCAATCTCATTCTCCCCACTTCTCCCCCAGCTCTTTGTCCCAATCTATTTATATCCCCACAGAGCTGGTCCAGCTCATGATCTCTGAGTTTGAATCAGACAAAATCCTTCTTATCCCTGGGATGGAGCTGTTGCAAGTGGGGGAAGGGGAGAAGGAATCCTGGGAGATACGAGTTTACTTGCAACTAACCTTGGAACCACGAGTTAATGAGTGCACATGGTTTAATTGCTTTAACCTACTCTGGGAAAGAGAGGAAAGGGGAAGCTCACTCTCTCTGTCTGCAATTACACTTACAGTCCAACGAAATACAGGCTGAGCACCAGGCTCAGGAAGGGGTTCGTGCTGAGTTCATGCTGTTGGTATCATCCCATGATGACCCCGGAGCCGGTTCGTTGGCCAGGCGATCAGAGCAGAGGGCACCCTCGGGAGGTCCTGCTTGGTGATCCACCTTTCGGGTTCTCTCCCTCTTTTATGTATCGATGATGTACAGGCCATGTGCAGCTTCTGGGTCCATATGCCTTCCTAATGTTCTTGTTGGGCCGTGTGCTCTCTGTGCAGGGGGCCGTGTGCACTCTGTGCAGGGCTGTGTGCACGCACGTTCAGGTGAGCAAAAGTTCATCACACATTGCACATTTGTTTCCCACACATACCATGCATTCATTCAGGAAGGGGGAACCAAAAGGGGAACTTACAGAACTTAAGCTGATAATAATTCAGCTTTACATCAGTTATAACTTGCAAACAGAGAACAACGTCCTTCGCCCTCAACAGAACAAACACAGTGGCTCTGTTGGACTGGTACCTGCCTAGGTCAGACACCACAAAGTGAGGGCTTACAACAGGGATGCAGTATTCTGAGAACTTTGTTGCCTAATTCTACGTTCTGCACATTACATTCTTATAGCCCTTCAGCACACAAATATCATCTACCAAAAAGGAACAGGAGAAAGAATGAGAATCAACACCCAGGAGCCAATTTATCACTATATAATCCAAAATATCTGAAAAAAAAAAAAATCAAGCAAGTGTAACTGGAGCACAGGATGGGGACTCAGGAGACTGTGGTTCTGTCAAAATTTCTTGTATAATCCTGGTCAACTTGCTTAGCTTCTTTGTATCTTAGTCTTCCATCTATAAAAACCAGGAAGACGGGTGTAGAGTGCTATGAGGTTTTGAAAAATATCAACTATTACAAAAATATCCTAGTTCAGTGATAATGAGTCAATGCAAAACGGTGGTAGGAATTAACAGTTGTCTAAATTACTGAACAATAGATTTAGAAATGTCTAGTCACAAAATATTACCCATCCCCCACATCATATAATTAAGGATGTTAAGTAGTGTGTAATTGACTAATCGAACAGTCGATGCATTTTTGCATTGACTATTCGATTAGTCGATAGGGCAGCACTGCCCCTTTGAAATGCTGTGGCAGAATTTCAAAGGCGTAGCGCTGCACAGAT